TAAGATTATTAAACTTCAGATAATTTCTGGACACTAGATTTTATTTACTTAATGTAAAATTTAAACTTAAAGGTTGGTCAGTCTGCTCATAATGTACAGATACTTAACTTGGAACAAATAAAAGTCCAGAAAAGTTTAACGCAGTGCAACTAAAGTGAATACTGAAGGCAACTTTGTGCAGCGCTAATTCCCCTTCAACGATGGGGAATTATATTGTTTATCCTTGTCTGATATTCATTAAAGAACAATACTGACAAACCAGTATGTGTTAAGCCCAGAGTTATCAAAGTGTGACTGTTGACCTTTACGCAGACTGGTCTGGTTTTCTCTGGGCAGTATCTCTTTCAGGCACCAACCCCTTTGCGCCTCGGTCGAGTGTTCTTTCAGCCAAGCAGAAGTAAATCTTGGCCCTCCGAGTGTTGGTGCAGTCAGACGGGGTGTTCCAGATGTAAACGTTGCTTTAGTCAGGACTCCCTCTGATCTGCTTAATCTCCCCGGGCTGGATTACAGGTTGGGCTCTAATCCGTGAAGTGGGGGTCTCTGTCTCTGCGCGCTCTAATCCAGAGACTGTCAGGTGCTTTAGATGAAAGCTAATTGCATGTCACAGTTTAGAGACCAAACATAGCGCTGGCGACAACAGAACAGGGTTGAGATTTAGGACCGGGGACGACTGGGCACACGCTCTGTGAAATTTGATCATATTAGAAAGAACTGTGATGAAATCCTTCATGAAAAATTCCAGAGACGACGTTTATCTCAAAGTTACTCAGATCATGAAGCAGCAGAATATTCTGGCATTTAAAAAAGTGAATGTAGTGAGATTCCTGTTTCACAGAAAGAAAGAAACCTTCCAGGATTTGTTTGGTTTCCAAAACATTTCCCGCATGTGAACTGTAAAATGCCGTCCTCCCAAACACAACTCACACTCGAGGTGATTAGTCTGACAGGCGTTTAAACCAGCTCAGAGCTGCTCCTTAACATCCCCCTGATCTGGTTTCAGGACTCCACAGAGACTGAAGCCCAGCTACAAAGACGCATCAGTAATTACTGCGCTACCAAAACGATATTTCATTTGGTGATTAGAGACCACAGCCTTTCAACAACTTCGACTAGAGACAGTCAGGAGAAACGGTGAGTGTCACAGTTTGAACTGCCAGACAAAAAGGCATTTGGAGACATTTTATTCATTTTTGATTACTGGAGGAAGTCCAAGAAAAATTCACCACGACACGGATTTAGTTTCATCTTAAAATCTAAGTTGCACTGACATGCTTTCTGTATGTTTGGCAGGAAATGGCAGGTAAATTCCTGTTATCTAATAAAAATCCAACAAATTGAACCATCAAAAATTGGCGATTTTTGCAATTTATGCCCAGAAATATTTACATTTATATGCAAATTTATATAGAAATATTTATAATAAATGTATATACAAATATGTGTATACTTGATAATAAAGACAAAACACCTCTGTAAGATAATATCAGACGAAAAAAGGTATTTGTTAATATTTATCTGTTTCAATGGGACTTCTTTTCATGATGTCACCACAAACGTCTTGCTCAGAGGATTTTCAGCTTTCTTTCTGAAAATGTTTGTCCAATCTTTCTCTGGATGTGATTTTTTTTATTTTGCCCTGCGTGTCGTTTAAAGAGTGTTCAGGTCCAGAGATCACAGAGCCAGAGATCACGGTTTGCTCTCATCAGGACATTCGTCATAGAGGCCTCTTCAAAACAACTGGAGGCCATCTTCTCAAACCACTGCTCTCTGAAGCCAAGTGCATGAAATGACTCCATGCTTCAGAAGAGGATCACAACTCCTGCACCAGGCTGTGCTGCGAGAGCGCGGCGCCCGGTCTGACCTACACCGTGGCAAGGTCATTTGGAGAACTTTCTAAGCGAGAGGAGACCTTATATTCAGCGCATCGATCGTCGGGTGAAAAGTACAAAATGTAAACGTGTCCGTCCAGATAAATGTACTGTCACGTAGCTCGGCGGCGGTTTGGACATATCTGTCATGGGTCTCGGTGTGTGGGGGGGAGGACACGGGAAATCTTGGCTCCTTCATCTGTGTGAATGTTAGAGGAGAGACAGAATGAATCATCCATCATCCATTCAGGGCACATTCGGCAGGTAATAGTCTGCTGTTGGATCGCGTCTTCAGACAAGACGCTCGTCATTCATCTCTGCGCACGGCAAAAATGCCTCTTTAATCTTGATTAAGACATTTCACACATTGTGAGACACAATTATAGCATTTAATGACTGGTTACAGGCTTGAGGAGACACGAGTGCCATTTTGAAGTGTTTTCTTGCTTTTATTTGCTGATTGTTACATTAAAAGAGGTGGAACTTCACGATGTACAAATATTTAATGTGGACAGGTCAACTTAAGGTAACTGAACAAAAACTGCAGAATATTCAGAAATGTAAAACTTTAGCTGAAGGTTTGGAATAGATCCTGACTAGACAGAAAAACACACGAACAACAAGTAATATTGGTGTATAAATAATGTATTTTTGTTGTTATGCTTTCTAAGGTGATATTCAGCAATAACTTTGGATGAAATGTACATAATTTGAAATTTATTTAAATCTAAGGGAGAATGGCGCTCTTAGTTAACACTGTGTAGTCTGGTTTTATATAAATGGTTTTCTTGTTGCAGTATGATATGAACCAATGTTTATTTCTAAAAAATGTTTTTTTTTTTTTATTATTATTATTCTAAATGTACCCTGTGTCCAACAATTTGTACAAAAAAAGTTGTGTTTTACTGCCTGGCTATGATAAACTGTGTAGTTTGTAGTAGTTTCCAAAACAAAAAAAGTTTGATTAAAATCTTTGCGTAAACAATTTAAATAATGAATTACCTCAAATCTTCCCCGATTTTGCCACTAAACCCACAAAAACATCAATTACTCCTAAATCTTCCTGTGATTTTTGTGCACTAATCATGCTTGATTTGTCTGAAGAGGTTAAATCTATTTACACAAAACTTGTTTACAAGTCAGTGATCTTCCCAGCCATTTTCTAACACATCCAACAATTTTTACATTTGTTTTTAGAAACTGTTCAGTTATTGTTAAAATGCATCAGCTGCTAAAGCATAAATTAGTTTATGGTTAAGAAATCAAAATGCAAATATTCTAATTAAAGCTACTACCGTTATAAAGTGAAGCAAGAAGAAGGAAGGATTAAGGGACCCGTTTTTTTAAAGGAAATTTATTTTGACTTTTTTTTCTATTACTTTTGACAGAAATCACAACAATATTAATTAAATTTGCAACTGGGTACTAGACTTTTTAACAAACAGACCACAGTTAGTGAGGATCCACAACTTCTCCTCCTCCACCATAACCCTCAGCACTGGCTCTCCTCAGGGATGTGTGTTGAGCCCCCTTCTGTTTACTCTGCTCACATATGATTGTGCAGCTACCCATCCAGGCTGTCACATTGTAAAGTTTGCAGATGATACAGCGGTGGTGGGATGCATCACAAACAATGATGAGTCCAGCTACAGGCAGGAGGTGGAACACCTGGAGAGCTGGTGCAGGAAGAACAACCTTCACATCAATGTGAAGACAAAGAAGATGGTCGTGAACTTCAGATGGAACAAACACACCTACCCACCTTGAACATAAGAGGATCTGCGGTGGAAGTGGTCTCCAGCTACAAGTACTTGGGTGTACACCTGAACAACAACCTCAGCTGGAGCAACAACACCACCAGCCTGATCAAGAAAGCTCATCAGAGACTCTACTTCCTCAGACGGCTGAGACGAGCTGGTCTGGGAAGCTCAGTCCTCACCTCCTTCTACAGGTGTGCAGTGGAGAGCATCCTGTGCTCCAGCATCAACGTGTGGCATGGAGGCTGCACAGCTGCAGAAAGAAAAGCTTTGCAGAGAGTGGTGAAGGCTGCACAGAAGATGTTGGAGTCAGTCTCCCCACCATCACAGACATCTACACCTCCAGATGCAGGAAGAGGGCCACCTGCATCATGAAGGACCTCACTCACCCAGCACACACACTTTTTGCCCAACTCCCCTCAGGAAGGAGGTTGAGGAGCATTAAGTGGAGAACCACTAGACTGAGGAACAGCTTCTACCCTGAAGCTGTTAGACTCATGAATCTCTAACCAGAATAATCACTGTGAAAAACCATATCATGTTGCTGCTGATCTGTTTCATGTTGCTGCTGATCGGTTTCATGTCGATGCGTTCATTCGTGCACTCATGTTTGTGCTGCTGTTTGGCGTATTGTTTTTATGCTACGAGTGATTAGCATATTCTTAGTTCATATCTTAGATCTTATTATTGTTTTTCTTTTACATTTGATTGTTGGATGTCACTGGGACCCTGTGTACATAATTTCATTCCACCACATGTACCACATGAGATGCAAATGACAATAAAGAAGCTCCGACTCTGAGAGTTGTCATTAAATAAGACAGATGGTGTTTTATTTTATTTTTTTTGTATTATGTATATGAATGTTTCTGTTCAGTGCCCTGAGATGACTTCTGCTGTGACTTGGTGCTTTATAAATAAACTGAATCAACTGGACCACAACTGCCTAGCTTAATTAATATGTCTAACTTTTTATATATATTTAAAGATGAAGGATTTAAGATATGATAATGAAGGGAAACAAACTGCCTACTTTCAAACTAAAGTGGCTATATATATATGTATATATATATATATATATATATATATATATATATATATATATATATAATTTTATTTTTTATTCTAGTGTAGAGTCCATTTTTGTTTCTTGTTTGGATAAAAATTGATAAAAGGTGAAAGAAGGGTGACTCTCCATTTCTGAAGGGATAAAGTTTCTACATGTTAATTAGTTTTCATAATACAGTACTTTAAAAAAAGTTAATCAGTTTTACATACAGAACTATCAAAAAGAAAATGTTGGGATTTTTGCTGTCTAACAATATTTTGATTACTTCCTAAATCAAATTAACAGTCATGTCGTTTGTATTTCCAGGCTACCAGTGCGGACTCAATGCATCCAGAAGGTTCGGACTTCAGACAAAGCTCAAAATCCAAAATGAAGACCTACTGGACTGAAAGCAGCAAAGCTGTCTCCATTAGCCGCCTGCTGTCCCAAAGCCTCTACCCCAAGGAGAACTTCACGTCTGTGGATCTGAGCTACGATGAGGCAGACTCGTACTCCAAACAGGAGCAGTGGAACTGGCTTTACAACACCTCAGCCCCTCACGATCCTCGAACCAGGACGAAAAGGAGGCCCATCGTCAAGACTGGGAAGTTCAAGAAGATGTTTGGTTGGGGTGATTTCCATTCCAACATTAAAACGGTGAAGCTGAACCTTCTCATCACCGGTAAAATTGTGGATCATGGCAACGGCACTTTCAGTGTCTACTTCCGGCACAACTCAACGGGTCAGGGCAATGTTTCCGTGGGGCTCGTTCCTCCCACAAAGGCTGTGGAGTTTCAAGTCCAACAACAGCACCAGCACTTCCACCACCATCACCAGCAGCAGCAGACGGCTCTGGAGACCAAGGAAACCAAGCTGTTCAACTGCAGAGTGGAGTACGAAAAGGTGGAGAAGGGCACCAGGAACTCGCTGTGCGCCCACGACCCCTCGCAGAGCTGCCCCCAGGAGCAGACCCAGAGCCACGTGTCCTGGCTGTGCTCCAAGCCCTTCAAAGTCATCTGCATCTTCATCACCTTCTACAGCACCGACTACAAGCTGGTGCAGAAGGTTTGTCCTGACTACAACTACCACAGTGACACCCCCTACCTCCCAACTGGGTGATCATGTGACCGTACAGGAAGTAAGACAGGCTGTCGAGCCCCGAGCGCTGTCAGAATAATCAAATGAAAGCGGAGTCCAACTTGAAATGTCGACAGGCATTTTTACAACTAACATATCCTCGTCACAAGACCAGTCCGATGAGCAGACCCAGCTCGAGGTCATTACGAGAGCTTTTTGGGAAGCATTTATAGGCTTGCAATACCCTTATTATATGCATAGCTGCTTACATCAAAAGGAAACTCTCAATCCAACTGTGAAAATATGCTGATTGTATTTATGTAAATATTGTGGATTTCACACAAGGAAAAGAAAACGGTTTTATTAATGTTTTCTCCAGTTAATTTACTCGTTTATGTTGATTGTGTGGTTCCGTCTCAATCACGCTTTGTGTCTTCTTCATTCAGTCTCTGGTAATCTTCACGTAAATGTCAATGCAAATAAGAAGAGCCTGTCAGTACACATTAGGGACATAATGGAAAAAGAAAACATACTTTGAGTGGTTTTGTTTTCTGCAGTGTGGTTTGTTAACGTGAATATACACCTCTGATATTGTATTTGGACTCTCATCCATGTTCATGCATGAACCGAACGTGGTAAACAGCTAAATATTGCCCATTTATATTGTCATGTTATTGCAGCTGTCAAAAGTAATCTTCATCAAATTGCAACTTTGACAGCAAACCAAAAAAAAAAAGTGCTTTTATTTTAATTTTGTGCTGCGTGTTGGAAGATTTGAAGCCGCACTGAATGACACTGCTGGAGAGCTCCCAACAGATCAGACTGGTCGAGTAAATGTTGAAATAAATAATAAAAGTTGCAGAAGACATGCAAGATGAAGGAGATGCAGAAGATCATTTTCTGTATAGCGCTTTAAAATAAGCAAACATAACTGTGCTCTAAATCTCCTTTCCCAGTGATGCTTTTCATTTTTGGATATTTAAATGTTGCTTTTCTTCCTGTGAATTACAGCAAGCTCTGTGTAATAAAATTCAGCTCCTGCTACATGACAAGTTGGTGGTGAAACGTGTATTAACCAGTGATCTGAAAAAGAAAAAAGTCTAAAGTAAATATATTTATTCAATGCCAAGTAATGGCAAAACATGTTTTGGGATAGTTCAGTTAAGGGTTTGCATCACCATCTGGTAATATATTGGTAAGAATCATTGGGCAATATAATAACACACATAATTAGGCCATGTCATGTAATTACTAAAGTAATAACACAGTTAGTACTTGACTTTAATACGTACGTATATTGGAGCCTAAAGAAATTTAAACTATGACCTCAAGTATGTTAGTAGCAAATATTGATGATCATCTTACTGTTGCAAAAATGTTGCACCGGTCGTAACGGTACACATAAATCACAGTTTGATCCATACTTTAAAGTCACGGTTCGGTTTGTTTCCAGCATGGTTTCATTACGGAAAACAAACAGTACGCCAAGGTCTCCCGTCTCTGAGGGATTTGAACACTGAATTTTGTTTTTGAGATGATTTTTCTGAACTGGGATTGAAAAAGAAATGCAAATAAATCTTAACGGTTGTGTCGCAAAACATTCAAGTGTGTAGGAGTTACACTGTGTATAAGCAAAGATGTAGGGTGCGTTTGTTTTTTTGGCTTGTCCCAGAGAGTCGGTGATAGATCCTGGTGAGGGAGGGAGCAATCTGCTCAATGACCAGGCACAATGGTGGAGGCAGGGGGTGACCAATGGTGGCACTGGCCACCACAGATTAATCTTCAGTCACCCCAATCATTTGAGAAAATTAAACTTTAAAGCAATATAAAAACTAGAAAGAATAGTTTCCCCAATAATGAATGAATAATGAATAAATGGAAGTCTGCACATTGATAACTTGTCCAAATTATCCAGCTCACATTTTTTTATTTATATATATATATATATATATATATATATATTTATAGGCAGCAGCCATCTTGAATTTAACATGGCAATCCAGTTTTCAAACGCAAGCTTTCTTATGCCTAGATGTAGCCACACACCAAAATGGAAGTTGGTACCCGACATTTTTCATGTTAACATGTTCACAACATGTACAGACACACAGACGGTATTTACCCCTTTTCGCATCGCACAGGAACAACAAACTTGCATACAGCAGAAGTTTTGACTCTATGTGTAGATTGCATATTTAAAGCTGGTATAATTTGCAGGTTGAAATGTTGATGAGAGGGAACTTTGTATCGTGGTTCTGTTACTTTCAGTATGTTTGAAAACTGGGCTTCTATGGTGGCGTGTTCACCGCTATCAGAACTCTTGTGTCTGTTATGAATTTGCCTCAGTCTTATTGTTAATGAAGGCTTTGCTCTTTGGATTATTTCTTTGTGCCAGTTGTGTTTACGTTTGGGTGGTTCTAAATCAAGTGAGTAATTAAGTAGCTAGGTAGTATCGCTGTTGAAGCACGCCAACATAAAGCTTTCATTCAATCCAGCTTTCCTTCTCCCCATCACTGTAGCGGACTAAGAAAGCGTAATGTTCCCAAACATTTGATGTTGTTGATACTCGAGGTCATCAAGCTCTGAGACGTCCGTTTTTTCTGCTTTTTTTTTTTTTTGTATGCTATCTTTTAAAAGTTGTGTGGCAAATGAAGAGCCCAGCACAAATTTCTGCACGTGTAAACATTTCTAACACTACATTTGTTCAATGCATGTGCACGCCAAACCAGAAAGACCGTACAAAAAATGTTTTGCTGACTATTTTTGGTATAGGCTTACACACAGAGATTTGCAACCCCATCCCCAGTTAGGCTTTGACTATTAAAACAAGTTCATAAATACACGTATCGTTAAACTAAGCACCAGCATAATTTTATTGTTAACAGGCTGCCATTTTTAATGCAATACAGAATACAGGTTACCATGTTAGTTCTAAAATACTGATACGTATTACAAAATAGTCTTACCCTGACATTTATAAATGTCCCCCATACTCGGCTTTTGTGAAAAACTTGGTTTTTACTTTAGTAAGTACATGACATTAGCTAATTAATACATCTTTATTTTACTGTTATTATTGAGCTTAATTGTAAAGTGTGACCAATTCTTGCTCAAAAGCACATTTCAGAACAGATGGCGAAAAAAAATACATGTTATAGACTGGGTGGTTTCCATTGGTTTTCTTTTAATAAGGCAGAAACAGAACAAAACTGTTAAAATGTAAGAAGTGGTGAAATCTGCTTCGCTGCTCTAAATGAGACAGGAGATACATTAAAACAGTAGGCGCTAATCACATATACCACCTATCAAACGTTTGCGCCTCCGCTTATCCAAAAAAAGGCAGATTTCGCATCAGACTAACACGTTTGCTAATGATATTGGAAGTTGCAATTGGCTATTAAAGCTTCATTACATAGATTGGGAGCTGGTGGCTCCACGTGAGGCATTTAGAGCAAATGAACACAGCGAAAGTAGGAGCTCTGCAGTGTCAACACCACAGAATAGAGAATGAATTAAAGTGCCGATAGGAAAGCTGTATTAAAAAGAGAAAGAAAAAATGAACAAATGTGCACCTAGGGGCACAATCACCGCTGTCTATTTAAATTCAGTGCTCTTTCACGGTGTTCTCTGTCGTATGCACAGGGTTGTTAATAGCAGCCTGGACGACATCCAATATGCCAACACAAGCTGAATTTTCTGACAAGGTGGGCTAAAAAACTCGTCTGCCTGTGGAATGAGTGAGCATAAAGAGGAATTTATGATGTGGAGGAACAAGGCTGGCAGAAATCACTGGAAACACCTGACTCATAAATTGAGAGCGTGTTTCTGTCAGCGAGAAGAAGGAATGACTAATGTTTCAGATCGCTGTTCGGGCCAGTTCTTTCATCTCAATAAAAGTGACTTTGATATCTCACCACCCCTCCCCAAAAAGTGCCGGGGACAGTTTGTTAAGCACCAAAGAATTAAAGCACCACTTTGTTTAGACAATTCAACCTGATTATGCACATAATCTCACGAGCGTAAACAGTGTGGAAGAAAAACGTCGGGCGTGAGAGCTGCTAAAAGAAGTCTATGATAACATATTCTGTGTACGCTTCAAGGCCTTTACAAAAAAAAAAAACACATTTATGACAATTTAAACATTGTGGGGCTTAAAAACGCACCCATTGCTTTAAACTTAATGGCTCAAATGTGTGTCCATTCTCACTGCTCTGTGGAACATTTATACATTTTATCAGCCTATTTATTATCATGTACAGCCAGGGTTTTTGTTTTCTTCATAGATTTGGTTCACACCGTCAGCTTTCGCCTCGTTTGTTTTAATGTAGCAACAAGCTGATGCGTTTCTGTTCAGGTGTTTAGTTACAATAAAAGCCTACAGTTTGCTAAACAGAAAATGCTCATGGGCTGGGGCTAATAAACTTGCCTGCATGTGTCAGTGTAGAATATGCTACAACATAGCACTAAAAACAGAAATTAGCTACCTTCATTTATTAGAGGCCAAAACGATTAATCCTTTCTGAAATGTGATGTACAGAGTTGTAGCAACTAGAGAAGTTATATTTACAAGTTATACTTAGACGAGAGGTGACTATCTGTGAGCAGCAGTATGGTTTCATGCTGAGAACGAGCACCACAGATGCCATCTTTGTTTTGAGGATGATGATGGAGAAGTACAGAGAGGGTCAGAAAGAACTCCATTGTGTCTTTGTGGATTTAGAAAAAGCATCTGACAGAGTGCTGAGGGAGGAGGTGTGGTGTTGCATTAGGAAATCTGGAGTAGCAGAGAAGTACGTTAGACTGGTACAGGACATGCATGAGGACAGCAGGACAGTGGTGAGATGTGCTGTAGGAGCGACAGATAGCTTCAAGGTGGAGGTGGGAGTGCATCAAGGATCAGCTCTGAGCCCCTTCGTTTGCTCTGGTGATGGACCGACTAACAGATGAGGTCAGGCAGGAATCCCCGTGGACTATGATGTTTGCAGATGACATTGTGATCTGTGGTGAGAACAGGGAACAGGTGGAAGAGAGCTCAGAGAGGTGGAGGTTTGCACTTGAAAGAAGAGGAATGAAAGTCAGTCGTAGTAAGACAGAGTCCATGTGTGTGAATGAGAGGGAGGAGGTGGAACAGTGAGGCTACAAGGAGCAGAGGTCACAAAGGTGCAGG